CATGAAACAGAATGAAATAAAATCCCAAATAAAAATAAATGAGATTTTGCATTTTTTTAATTTTCACTCCCACACCTTTGTACTAGTGCAAATAAAATTGCACTGCAACTAAACACAACCTTAAGAACTTTCCCTCAACTTTCTATTTTTCTCTTATTTTCTGTCAAGCCAAATACAACCTTAAGTTATGTTTGGTTTGAAGGAAAAGGTGGAGAAAGGAAGGGAAAAATAGGGAAACCTTTACAATCTTTGTATAGGTTTCCTTATGGTTTCCTTCATTTCCCTGCTTTTTCCTTCAAACCAAACACAACAGAAAAAGTTCAATTTGGACTTACCAAATTGTCTGTATTTCACTATTTCATGCAATTTTGGACCTTGCCTTGCTTCTTGTTTGTTATATATTAAGCTACCTTCTTAAGTGTGAGTTGCGCATTCCGTCCTTAAATGATGCAGGAGATATTATCTGAAACTCCTATGCAATTGTTTGTTTTTGTCATTCACTAATGAATATGAAGCTTTGATTTCCACCGGGCAGGCCCTGTTTTATAAAGAAAATTATAATAATAAAACAAGAAGAATATACATCTTTAACTTAATTTTATCATACTAAACTAGTTACTTAATAGCTTAATTTTTATCTATAAAGAAAAAGAAAAAAAATATAAAACTACTCGTTTAATAATAACCACTACTAAATATCTAGTTTTAGCAGTTTGGTTCATGCTCGCTTTAAAGTTATCTTTTCATTGTACTTTTGAAATGTGCAATTTAGGCTGTATTTGGTTGCAAGACAAATTTCATTTGCACTGGTGTAAATGTATGAAAGTGCAAAATCTGGTTTACTTTTTTTTTTTGTGTTTGACTGTCTTGTTTGATAGTGAAGTAAAATGAAGTGACCTCCACTTTAAGGTTGTGATTGATTTGAAGGAAGTAGGGAAAGGTAGGGAAACTTTTACAAAGTAAAGCAATGTTTTCGAACCGTCGTTGACTTAGATGGTCAGACCGTTTGGGCCGGAAACCGTCCAGATGACCAGTTCCGTTTTACCTCAAATCCAATCTTTGGTAAAAAATAGTTGAATTAGTCAACAAACCATTGACTCGGATGGTTTGACCGTTGAACCGTTCGACCCAAAGAACGGTTTACGGTTTATTAAATAAGAGCTAGATTCGAATGAAAAGAGAAATCTCTCAGATCTCAAATCTGAGATCTACTGGAGAGAGAGAGATCAGTTGAGGGAGATCTCATATTCGAGATCTAGAAGACTAATATCTGGAAGAGAAGGCTAAGAGTCTAGATGACAGATTTGAGAAAGAGAGATTTGAGACTGAGAGAAATCTCAAATCTAACATTGCCGTTGCCGTTGAACCGCTGACCCGAAAACCGGTGGCCAAAACGGTTCCATTTTTGGGTCGATTTATATATATATATCGGAGCCATGAATTTTTTTATGAGGGGGCCAAAACTTATGGATGGGCCATAGGAAGGGCCAACCATTGGGTGAAAAGTGAGGGGAGGGAACAAACTTACATATAAAAATATATTGAGTGTGCAAATTTCTAGACCCTAGGGGGTCACAAAATGTATTGTGATTTATAAGTCCATAACCTCAGTTTAAGATGTTTTTTTATATATGTTTACTTTGGGCTTTCTATTTTTAATGATGGAGAAAGTGGCATCTTAAAACCTATATATCAATTTCCAACCAGAATTAATGGCTTTTAGGTTTTAAAATGTGTTATAAAAAGTACAATTGAAAAGTTCGGCCTAGACCCAAAAGTTTGAGCTTTTTAATTTTTATGGCTAGGTTCGGGCTTAGTCCTTAGGTAGCATGAACCCAACTCAATCTTATCTCAACCCAAGCCCGGCCCGATATTTGCATGCATACATATATAGTTTCACACACACACACACACACACAGTGAATGATATGTTTCTAAAATTTTCTAAAATTTTTTATATTTCTATCTCTATAAAAATTATTTTTATTTTCACACTTTTTTGTTTAATATGATGAATATACGATATTAGAGACGTGTCCAAATGTTTTTTATGAAAAAAATTGTTTTTTATACATTTTTGTATTTTTCATCTTTTTAAACTATTATTATTATTATTATTATTATTATTATTATTATTTAACAATAACATCAAGGGTTGACAGATTTTCTCCCAAAAGGTTCAATTGTTGGTTGGCCACGAAATAGGAAGACAACTCCATTTTGGATTGGTTTTAAGTTTTATTTTATTTAAATCATCAATAAAAAATAATTATTCTTCATCATATTTATTTTTTTTAATATTGTTAATTAATATAGGACTAAATGAAAGAATGAGAGTCATACCCTAAATATAAGACTTAATGAGATAGAATTGAATGAAGAGAAATGTAATAGTTCAAATTACATTTTGTGTCTCACAATTAGAAAGGGACCAAATCAATTTTTAATGTGAAATGATTGACCAATTCGAACTTAGCCCAGGCCTGAAACCAACTTGAATGTATAAAATTTTAGTGTAGGTTGGCTAAGATTTTAAGCCCATTTCTTAGGGGTGGGCCTAGGTTAGTTAAAACCCAACTCAGCCCACCCGACTTACACCCTTAATACTTTCTTGTTTGGATTGGGTGCAAGAAGATATAACACCCCCCCCCCCCCCAACTATACTAATTTTACTAATTTTTCAATTGACCTCTAGAAATTATTTTACATAATTTTATTCATGAAATAAAGCAGCAAAGTCCTTTTAATTTTATTTTATTAATAGTATATAGTATTTTGGTGTTTTCTTGTTTAATTTATCAATCAGATAAACTATCCAAATCCAAATTCCAGTGAAACGTGAATCCTTCAGGCTGTACATGTTTGGTTGCAGTGCAAATTGATTTGCACTAGTACAAATGAATGAGAGTGCAAATGTAATAAATGCAAATTCTTGCTTAATTTTGTTTTGGATTTATTTTGGTCTGCTTCATGTCTTAATTTACTTCATTTATACTGCAATCAAATAAAATAAGCTAAATTTTGAAATAAAAATATATCAGAATTTTACACTTAAATCATTTGCATTGTCATGGTTTTGTATCAGTGCAAACTTATTTACATTGCAACCAAACACAGCTTCAAGGCTCAGTTTAGGAGTACAACTACAAAATATGCAAGTGTAAAACCTTGTATTTTGTATATATTTGCAGTGTATATATTTTGTATTTGCACTCCTTTCAAACTGAACCCGTATAAAGTTTGATCCAGATCCAATTGTTAATATGCTTGAATTCAAATCTAGATATATCCGATACAAATTAATCTGATTCAGTGGAAGCATTAGTACAGATCCAAAAACTTTCTTCTTTTTCTTTTTTCCATTTCGCTTTTTCAACAGTTCAAAGATCAAACCCTGACATTTTGACGTTAAAATTATTTGCAGATTTAAACGTGGACTATGTCCAGCTGAAAGCCTGAAAGCCTGAAACTGAAGCTAATCTATTGTTTACATTGGACAATATGAGTTTTGGGTTTGGGCTGAAAAAAGAAGCCTAATTATATTGTGGGTTGGGCCCCGGGTTAATGACTTGGGCAACCCAACCCAAATTGAAATACGCATACATACTAATTTCTGGCAACCCAAAAGAGCTTACCAAAATAAAAGTTGGGAAAAAGAAAGATAAGCATCTGATTTGATTAAGGACTGTGACACAGGTTAAACAAATTGCAAGAGCATCCAGGAATTTATTTTTGGCCCAGCTGATTTACTAGGTAAAACCCATATTATAACGGCCCAACTACATGAAATTTCTAAAGGGTGTTTAATCATGGGCCCCAGGCCCATATATGAGTCTATATCCCTAAGCCCATGTTTCTCTGCCACAAAGTTAATGAAAAAGATTCATGCATAATTTCCACCCAAATGATTATAGAAAATGCTTTCTAAAATCTTCATCCATAAATAAAGAGCCCTAAAAATTGGAGATACGGTCTGGTCTTTGCAGTTGGGCTATCAATGGGTTGGTTCTGGTTCGGAACAGGGTGGAACTGTCCAGAACTGAATAAAATATTTTATTCTGGTCCCCAAACAGAGCTTATAGGATTTATAATTTTAGACCCAAAACCAAACCGCCTAATAATTGAAACAATCGGATTTGAACTGATAAGAACTGATTATATCTAATACCAGTTCAACAGAAACAAATACCTGGAAGACTAGAACAAGATGTATTTGAGCATAGTCCTAGGTGTCAAGTGAGAGCTTGCTCCAAAAAAAAAAAAAAATGTACATTTTCAGAGCTTTCGAAGTGTAGGGTTGCAAATGGTATCCGATTGTCCAAATTTGATTTCGAATTTGATCCTACTAAGGATGATTTGAATTCTATCCGTTTATAACTGGGTCAAATATGGATCCACCCCTACTCAATCTGGTGCAATCTGATTCAACTTTATATATATACTCAAAATTCATATTATATCTATTAATAAAATTGGTATGAATGTTGTATTTTCATTAAATTGTAAATTGTTATAGGTTCAAGTTTCATACCAGTAATTTTTAATTCAATTTGTTCATAAAATACAATATTAAGGTCATTTTAATTCATTTTGTTAATAATGTATAATATTCTGATCATTTTCAGTTTAATTTATTTATATTATTTAATATCTAATTATATATAATCCGAATCTGTCTGATGAATACAAATTGATTCAAATTCGATTATAAATAAATCAAATTTTGGTTGATTCGATTTGCAGCCCTATCGAAGTGCTTCAATCAACTTTAGATTTTCCCTTTTTAGAATATCCAATCTCTTGGGGCCAAACTTGACTATTATCACAAATTCACAATCGAATTAAACTGGCCTGCCAGGGCGTGAGCTCCCACCGGAGTGAAGAGATCTAAAGATAAAAACATTGGAGACTAGAGCTTATATAGGAAATCTTAGTATCAATTTAATAATCAGAAAGAAAGAAATTAAAGATAGTAGAAAGGATAAATTGAAGATCAGGCTGCATGTAACAAACAAACACGTACCAAACCCCAAAATTAACAAATAAAATGTTTAAAAAGTAATCTAATTCATGTATAAATCACTGGCAGTTCAACTCCTGGACAGTCTGCTTCTCCAAATTAACTGTAATGGTGCAATTCATTTCTGCAGTTTTACGTTTCTTCATTATCTTCATCAAATGCACCTTCCCACTCAGCCTGGCATAGCTGTTCAACGTCAAATTCCCGGTTCTGATGTCACTGTTCAGGTAAGTTGAACCATCAATTGACAGACTTTCCGAGCTCACCTCCATCGTCACATTCATCCTCCTAGTCTTTCGTGCCTTAGCCCGGGCCTCGGGGATCACTGCCTCCCCGACGGTGACACTCCGGTAGGTGAGAGTCGCCGTGCTGTTGTCGAATTTGAAGTGACCGAAGTTCTTATTCTTCACCGCGACTTGAGCTGTTACCGTCATTCTGAAGGGAGAGGAGGCTCCATTGGGCAAGCTGATACTCTCAACGGAAACACTACTGAGCTTTACACTGGGAGCCTTGATCTTAAGCACTGTCAGTGCAAAGACGAGGATGATAATGGTCTGAAACACGGCAAAGACAGCAATATAAGCAAAGCATTTGATGTTTTTCTTCCGGCTGAGCTGCTTTGCCCGCAAGGGTCCCGCCTCCTCGTCGCTCCGGTCGTGACGGACGGCGCTTGTCAAGGGATGAGCGTGATCCATTTTATGTTGTTAGGACTTAGAACTCAGAAGAGCTACGCAGAGAGATAAGCTAATTTCTTTTTTCTCTGAGTAGTCTATCTAATGATCGATCTAAGTTCTATATATATATGGATATATATACAAATTAAGATAAAATTAAAATACTGGAATGGGTATGAATTGAAAAGGATAATTCAAATGGTGGGGTATCGAAGTTCTGCAATTTGTTTTTCTTCTTAAAACGTGTTGAGGGGCATAAAATTCAATGCTTGTTGTTTTGTTTAATCGCGTCTTCCTCCATTTATGACTGCAGTCTGCAGTCTGATTACGCTATGATAAATACTGGAGAAATTTCTACTTTGTGTTGTACTTACAGTTGACGGAACCCGATTGGACCACTGTAGTATATGTTGATTATCTAGAAAGGGAAGCAAAAACAAGTGAAATAATGAAAATTAATAACAGGCTAGTTAGAGAATTTCTGCTTTCCTTCTTCAATTAATTAATGGAACTAAAGATAACACAAAACACATGATTTTGCACTCTACATATCCCGAAAGTCAATAAATAAATCAATAGCACCATCCAATTAAGAGTTGTCCCATTCAAATCCATGTATAGAAATTTAATTGGTTAATTTAATATTCAAATTTCAAATGTATCTTATAATTGGATATTGAATAATATTAATAAATCTATATTATTACTAAAGTGTGAATGAGAGGGTGGAAATTTTGTTTCACTAAAATACCTCAATTATTGAATTTGGACAGCCACTTTTATCCTCATTCAAATGTATCTTCTCATTAACCCTTGTAGTCAAGGTATTGACTCACATTAACATTTATTGTGAGGGTATAAAATGTAATTTTAAATCCTACCTTTCTTCAAATCGATTCTTTCTCAATAAGTCTTATATTTAAGGTATTAACTCATATTTTTTATTGATGATCATATATTAATTAGCCATATTAGAGAAAAATAGGTGTGATAAGAATAATTGTCATAAAAATATGTATGACAAATAAATGTTAATATATGACCACCATATTAGAGAAGATGATGATGATGATGGTGATAGATCACCATATATTCATATAAATGTTAATATAAACTCATATTTTTTATTGATGATCTATCACCATCATCATCTTCTAAAAAATTGTCACATACAAAGTACATGTTAGACTTACTAGTCAAACTAAAAATGAATAATGTTATATAGGATTTGTAATCGGAAAATATTGGGTAAACTATTTTTGAACACTAATGAAATTGAGGCTGGAAATAGACTTTGAAATCCGATATCTAATTCAACTTCCAATCCTATCATTCCGGATTTGGATGTTAGAATTTGGACTCCGGATCTCCTGCCTACGAGAATTTGCATGCAAATATAGTAATTAGATCTGATACGGATTTAATTCTATCTGATCAGATTAAAAATAATCTGAATTCAATAAATTATTTAGTTTTTAAATTTTTTAAAATATAATCATTTTAAACATACAATATGATTCAGATTTAGATCCAATGGTTCGATAATTGGATTGGATGCGGATCTAGTTGGATCCGACCCATTTACAGCCCCAAACTGAATAAATATATGGTGCATGGTAAAGTTCCAGCTCTGACAGCCCAATGTGAATGCACTGATGGTTCCATGCTCTTGCTAGTTGGTTAAGCCGAATTGGTCTCAGTTGTATGAGCTAAATAATTGAGCAAGAGCGTAACAAAGAGAACTCAAAAGCTAGAGAGTGTGTAGAAGCTTTCAATTTGGGCAATGTGCTCTTATATATATGGGATTTGTTAAGCAAAAGCTAAATAATATAAACATATAAGAATATATAATTGTTTTATATTTTTAACTTTTTAAATAATTATTAATTATTTATATTTTATATATTATTTTTAATAATTTGTTTACAATACAAAAATAACAATAATTAATTTCAGCTAGTGTTGTTCATCAAGCTAATGAAACCGACCAACTCCACCTAAATTGGTCAATTTTCTAATATTTCCAATCGGCTTTGATTCAATAATTTCCCAACCCAACCAAATTGGGTCAATTTTGCTTTGGCCATTTATAAATTGATCAAAATTGAACAACCTGACCATAGATATATATTAATATTTTATATTTATAATATAATTTTTTAATACGGGAAAGTGGGAAAACTCCCATATTTCTTAGTCTAAAATATTTTATATTATAAATTTATTTTTTCATAATGCAACTATCATTTTTTAATATAATAAATCTTTTGAACCAATTGATCAAACCGAAAATCGACCCCAACCAATACAACCCAAGTTAGTCGGTTTTCACTAATGATCAGTCGTTTTCGGGTGACCAACTCCACAACCTGACCAGGTCGATTTGGTTGGCCAAATAGCCTACAACCGAGTCGAACCAACTCGTGAAGACTCCTAATTTCAGCTAAATTAATAGTCTAATTTCTAATAAATAACAACAACTTAATCTCCAATAATCTCCAACAACTTATCTCTAATTCTTATTTATCTTCTAAATCATATCCAATTTAATTGAGAGTTTCTCTCCTAAATTATCTTTTATTCCTATTTATTCTCTCCCCCATTATTTATCTATATTTAACTAAAGAAAAGTTTGAATTAAAAATTTAAAAATTATTTAAATATTCTAATTAAATTATATAGAAAATTCAAAATATTTATTAAAAACACAAAAAAAATAATTATAATAGATTTAAAATAATTTTTCGTTACTTGAATTTTATTTATTTAAAGATTTTACAAAATATTAAATATTTTGTTATATAATTATTTAGCTATTTTTTTATATTTTGTTATTTAAAATATTTAATCATTGAAATATTTAAATAATATTTTATTTTTTAATGTTAAATTTTATTGTTTGAATAACATTTAAATTGAATAATTTGGAAAATCATAACTTATATTGTTAGTACATAATTTCGTGATGAATTTTGTAAAATATAAAATTATTAATAATATAAATATTATTAAATCTATTATAATTAGTTTTTGTGTTTTTAATAAATTTTTAAAGTTATTGTATAATTTTGTTAGAATATTTAAATAAAATTTTAATCATAACTTTCTTTAGATAGATATAAGTAAAAAGTAGGAGAGAGGACAAATAGAAATTAGAGATAATTTAGGAGAAAGTGGGATAGGTAGTTGAAGAGAAATTTTATGAGAGGATATTATTTAAGTTATTGAGAACGTGTGGGAGAGAGAGAGAGAGAGAGAGAGAGAGAGAGAGAGATGTTATGTAAGTTTTTTATGGGGAAGGAAAGCATCTCATATATATATATATATATAACCAAGGAAGGAGAGCATCAGATTGGTTTCTTTTATATTTTTTAACTTTTTAAATAATTAATAATTATTTATATTCTATATACTATTTTTAATAATTTTTTACAATACAAAAATAACAATAATAAATTTCAGCTAAGGTTGTTCATTAAACTGATGAAATCAATCAACCTGATCAACACGACCCTAGTTGGTCGGTTTTCTAGTATTTCCGATTGGCTTTGGTTCAACAATTTCTCAATCTAACCAGGTTAGATTAGTTTCGCTTTGGCCATTTGTAAATCAGCTAAAATCGAACGACCCGACCATATATATATTAATCTTTTATATTTTAATGTAATTGTTTATATACGGAAAGTGAAAAAATTTCTATATTTCTTAGTCTAAAATATTTTATATCATAAATTTAGTTTTTTATGTTTAAATCTTTTGAACCGATTGACCAAACCAGAAATCGGCCTAAACCAATACAACCTGAGTAGGCTTGTTTTCACTAGTGGTAAGTCAATTTCGGGTAACCAACTCCCCAACCTGACCAAGTCGATTTGGATGGACACACAACTTACAGCCAAACTGAACCAATCAGACACTCCTAATTTTAGTTAAATTAATAATCTAATATCTAATAAATAGTAATAGTTTAATTCATAATAATTCTTGAAATTTTATAGCAAAAATAATCAATTATTGAAAATGTATTGACAAAGAAGATACAATAAATAACTAATATAAATATAATAAATACAATAATTACAAAAAGTATATTAAATTAGTGAATAAATAATGTAATCTCAAATAATAGTTTAATATCTAATAAATATTAATCAATAAAATAAAAAGAAAAAATACAATACATATAATAAGTACAATAAATTAAATTTTATTTAAGTAATAGTAGTTTAATCTCCAATAATTATTGAATTTTTTTGTTAAATAACAAAACAAAAATAGATCTATACATACTTATTGAAAATATATTTATCAAAAAAACAATAAATAATTACTAAAAATACAATAAATATTAATTTTAGTATATAATATATATATATTATATATATTTATAATAAATATAGGTTAAGATTTTAAAATTATTATTAATAAATATTAATTATAATTTATACTATCATTAATAATTTCATTATTAGTTTTATAAAATATTAAATTGAATATTATAAATATAATTATTTTTCCACTTTTTAGAAATTTTTGAATTTTATTACATAATTTCATTATTTTAGCTATTTCAAAGCTAGTCATATTAAATATTTCGTTATTTTCAATGTTTAGGTATTGAAATATTTAAACAATATATAAAATAGTTAATTTTTTTTTGTTATTTGAAATATTTAAATATTTTGTTATATAATTATTTAGATATTTTATTTTTTTATTTAAGATATTTAGTTATTGAAATATTTAAATTATATTTTATTTTTTAATGTTAAGTTTTATTATTTGAATAACATCTAAATTTAATAATCAGGAAATTAATAATTTATATTGTTAGTACATAATTTCATGATGGATTTTGTAAAAATACAAAATTGTTAATATTTTTGCTATTATTAAATCTTTTATAGTTATTTTTTTTGTGTTTTTAATAAATATTTTTAATGTTATTATATAATTTCATTAGAATACTTAAATATTTTTTAAAATTTTTAATTCGAAGTTTCTTTACATAGATATAGATAAAAAGTAAAATATAAATGTATTAATGTTATTTTAATGCTATTATATAATTTTGTTAGAACATTTAAATAGTTTTTAAAGTTTTTAATTCAAACTTCCATTAGATAGATATAGATAAGTAGGGGAGAGGATAAATAGGAATTAGAAATAATTTAAGAGGAGAGAGAAAGTGGAGAATAGTGGGAGAGGTAGCTTAGGAGATATTTTAGGAGATGATACTATTTTGGGAACATGTGTTTATGGGGGGAGAGAGAGAGAGAGAATTTTTAGGTAATTTTTTATGGGAAAGAAAAGCATACTTCAAAAATGGTATAAAATAAAAAATAAAAAAAGGAGAAAAAAGAAAAAAAGAAAAAATTTCTAAATTACCTTGGGAAACATGTGTTCCCACCTTGTGTGAGGGTTGCAATGTGCACCAATGTTTATGATGGTGCGCCATATCACCATTTCTTGACTCATCCTAGCTCTGGACATGCAACAATCTCCAGCTTGACAAGGTGTGGTTTGGTCGGGCTTTCACGTGTTGTTCAACCCCCAAACCATTCCTTGGGGATTGCATGTTACACTGCACATGATACTCAATAAATAAATAAATAAAGTTGATTTGGGGGGTTGCATTTTGAATTTCATGAATAAGCGGTCTAGGTTGTGTTTGATTTCATGCCTAACCCTAAGACCCAACTATAGACAGTGTATGAGATAAAGCCCGAACTGTTTAAATCAAGCTCATTCTATATTAAAATTTGATGCATTCAAGCTGGAATTTGGCCCAGATAGGACTCAATTTGGCCAATCAATCCACATTAAAAATTGATACAAATGTATGTGTATATATATTTATGCATGTATATGTGTTTGGTTTAACAAATATGTATGCATGCATGAATATTTATTATAATACAATTTGATTAGTAATAGGTTGAGATTTGGATTTGACTCCATCTAATCCGATTATAATCCAAATCCAATTTTATATTATAATATTTATTGATTTTAATATATAATATTTATATAATTATTTTAAAATTACAATAATTATATTTTTACATATTATATTATATATATAGGAAGAGAAAATAAATTCTGTATGTCATATTTATATTAATTTATTATATATAAAAGTTGTAAAGTAATTATTTGTTTTAATTTTTTATATTAAAAAAATAAAATGGAGTGGGATTAAATCTAAATCCAATCCAAATTCATTAGGATTTGAATTTGAATATAAGGTCTTCAACTCCAATCAATTTTTAGATTAAATTCAGATGTAGGTATTATGTCTTTTCCATGTCATACTCGAACTCAAAATCAAATAGTTCAGTGATTTTAATTTTGAATTTGTTCTTCAGAAATTCACCACTTTTAGTTAATAAATTTATTTATAATATAATAATCCTTCTACATATTCACATCTCAAGGTAAGGGTGTGCCCAGTGCCTACTAAAAGTCTCTAAAATACATACTATAAAAATTCTAAACTTGAGCTCAAAATTTAAAAGCAAAATTGAAAAAAAAAAAAAAAAAACTACAGTACACAGGAGTTATGAGCTTGAGGCGTTAACTGCAACTTAATTCCTGGACATTCTGGGTCATCAGATAAATGGTCATCGTGCAATTCATTTCGCCGCTTCTGCTTCGTTTCATCATATTCAACATCTTCACCTTCCCGTTCAACTTGGCGTAGCTGCTCAACCTGATAAACTCCGAACCCACAAGGTTTGGTGCTTTCAACAGCTGATCCGACCTCACTTCCATGGTCACCTTCATCCTTCGCGTGCTCCTCTTCTTCACCCGTCCGCCGGGAATCTGGCCCTCCCCTAACACAGCGTTCAAGTAGGAGAAGGTAAGCGTGCTGTCGTCGAATTTGAACTCACCCCAGTTCCGGTTACTGATAGCAAGCTGGTTGGTCACAGTGACGTTGTAGGAGGAGGATGAAAAAATCTGGGTGAGGTTGCCTGCCCCGTCGATGGTGATGGACGTCAACTGGATATCGGGATCCTTGAAGCGAAACACGGTGAGTGCGAGCACGGAAAATACGACGATGTGAAGCAAGAAGAGGGCAGTGATGATGCCACAACATTGGACGGTGAATCGCCGGCGCTGCAACTGCTTTGAATTGGATTGGAAGGTGAAAAGGTAAGCTTCATCAGTGGTGGTGGGAGGTGGGATGTGATAGATGTGATCCTTCTTGTCGGACATGGCCGGAATTGAGATCAGAGGTGGTCAATGATAATCAGCTCTCTCACCTCAGCTCCAAATCAGTGAACGAGGAGGATTAATGGAGGAACAAAGGATAGTGTATGTGAATTGTAAGGGTTTGTTTGTTGATTGTTAGTAGTCAATTAGTACACATGATCTCAAAAAGAAAAAAGAAAAATGGCGTGGTTGGAACGGTTATCGGAAAGGACTACAATGTGCGGTCATTGTGGAGAAGAAATGAATAAAAATTGACTGGCACCTTTCAATTTTCATATGTGCTTGTCAAAGACTATAAGGTGTTTGAATGGTTAATTAGTCTGCCGTGTTGGACATTTTGACGCCCAACACATTTTAAATACTAATTATGTGGAAGCTTCCCTTTTAGTCCCCGTTTGGGAGGTGCAGCGGATTCTGGCTAATGTTTTAAAAACTGATCTATAAGGCTATAACCGGAACAGCTTTGGGAGCTTTGGCCATTGAGTTTTGGGTCTGTGGTTTGACTGTTCAGTTTGAACGAGTAGCCCATTCCAATTTGAAAAAATAAAAATAAAAAATGGTCAATATTTGGGTCAAATGGGTCAATTGTTCGATCGTTTAGGTCAGTGGGTCACTGACTAAATCAGTAATTTTTAACCAAAGAACAATAGGCAAAAACGGAATCAATTGCCTTGATGGTTTTCAGACCGAATGGCCCAACCGTTTGGGTCAATGACGGTTCAGAAACCATACTTCTAGTATTATATGAGCTGAGGAATTCAGAATGTACGAGTCCATATAAACTTATCAGAGCTGCAAAATAGACTTTCTGGTCAAGCTATGTTTAAGTAACATCATCTCGAAATAATGCAGTTCAATCAACGCATAAACCCTTCCAAACTGGCTCTTAATTTGTACTTTTATTTGTTAATTGATTAATTGTGACTGCCAAGTCCTAGACTTAGACTTGATAAAAGGTTCTTGGAATCCAGACCCTAGAAAGAGACACTTGGACCGCTTAGTAACTAATTTTATATTATTTAGGGGTCCAATTGGACTTGACGTACATCAGTCCAAAAATATGGGTTTGGACTGCTGTACGTTTGACATAAAGCCCAAAAATATCTCCTCATTGAAAGATAAATTTAAATTGATCCAAAAAAATTGAACGTTGAATTCGTAGGGCTTGTTGTATTGAGAATTGACCACATACCACTCGGGTCACTCTGTATGTCTCATCATAGTTTTGTATTGGGAATATTTCCCCATGAAATAAAGTATAGAAGTGTGGAGATGTTCTCGATGCAAGGCTATAAAGACTATTCGAACAGTGTTTGAATGGAACTTGCACTAATTGAAGCCAATCTCCACTAAAAGCGCTCTCTCTTTCTTCTTTCTCGACTTCACATCTACACCCCACAAGGGGGTGCCCCACAATGTGCCACAGCACACCCCAGCCTTGTATTGAGAATATCTCCCAATGACAGTACAGGAAATGATGAGATATCATCGAGAAATATTCCCAATATAAGACCGGGATGTGCTGTGGGGCGCAGGTGTGAACTCTCCCCTCTCTCATTGAACAATTGAGCAATGTGGACCCAATCCTACAAATAATTAGAATGGATAAGGCAGATCCAGATGAAACAGTCAACTACTGTCTAGAAAGATAAGTTAGGATTCATATTATGAGATTTTTGGTAAAAGTTGTAGTGCCAACTACTGTCCTAACATGGGACCAACAATGTAAGACAATAAGTTCAAGGAAAATTGATATAAATCTCACAAATACAATAGCAACACTAAATGTAAGGTTGAAATAGACACAAATAAGGTATAAATATATAACAACTGCATATTTTAATGATACAAAGGAAGAAACAAATTACAACTATTATAATGGGATATACATATATGTCATACAATTTTATCGATAAGTGTTTTGTAAATTATAAATATATTGTTATTTAATATAAATTAAAATGTCAATTAATCATTTATAAAAAATCTAGTATTAACTTAAAAATATAGCGTATATGTTAAGATTTCTAAGATACACACTATATGCAAATTTTGATACAAATATGGATTTAATAGATTATTATTCATTTCATTAAAATTTGTAAAACACTAATTTTGAAAATTATTCTTTTTTATTTTTAGTTAAACAAAATTATATATTATTAATCATTTGGATTACATGTAAATGCTAAATTATATAAAAGTTATTTTATTTCTTTTATTAGTATGAGATGCCGAGTTGGTCTAGTGGTCTAAGAGCATACTTTAAATGTAGGTGATATGGGTTCAAACTTCAAATAGTGCATCCCTATGAGATAGTGCTGTTGCTAGAGAAGGTGAGTATTGTTGTTGTTGAGGAACACAATCAAGGTAAAATGGTCTAAAAAATATTAAAAATGATAGTTTTGGCATTTAAAGTGAAGTTCAGGTAAAATGGTGGGTACTAAATTAGTAGTTTTCGAGAGTTCAGGTATTGCAATGGCACTGAAGTTCAAGTACTAAATTGAAACTAGACCTAAAGTACATGGTACTAAAATGCAATTTACCCTTAATTTAATGATGAATATGGATGCCACATATCCAATCGCACACCCTTCCAAGACAACTTGTCCCTTCACAAGAAGAAACAAGGTGTTTGTTCGGGACCATTGTTGTTGCTCCAGAAAATAGCGTCACATCAGTGCCATGTAGGAAAAAAGGGTGCTGTAGAAAACAGACATCTGTTTGGAACTGTTTTTCCATAGAAAACGGTGCTCCAAGCCACGCCTTGGAAGTTGGGAAGGCATGGCTTGGAGCAACGCCAAATTTAGTGTTTCCTAGAGCTTCAGCTTGTTGCTGCCAACATGGTAGTGATGTGGCAGTAGACAATGGGTAGAAGTGCAGAAAACGTTTCTGGAGCATTGGTACCAAACAGAAAAAGTTGTTGCTCCAGAAAATGTCCTACCTGGCAGCAACGATTCCAAACAAAAAAGGCACAATTTTCTCGTAAAACGATACTCCAAGCCACACATCAATAGCACTGCTGCAAATACAGCATCGATGCCAAATATATACACAAAACCAACGGAAAACAAGATGTAATGTGCAAAATCTGAATCATGACTTTTGAATTTTGATATTTAATTTTTAAATCCAACAGTTAAAGACTTGATTGGTTGTGATCAAGAGACATAATTTATAATTTAAATGTTAATAATCATTAATTATTAATGGAGGAACAAAGGTAAGCTTCATCAGTGGTGATGGGAGGTGGGATGTGATAGATGTGATACTTCTTGTCGGACATGGCCGGTATTGAGATCAGAGTCGCTCGGCTGTCTCAAATCAGTGAATGAGGAGGATTAATGGAGGAACGAAGGATAGTGTATGTTTTAATTGTAAGTGTTTGTTTGTCGATTGTTAGTAGTCAACTAGTACACATGATCTCAAAAAGAATAAAAGGAAATGGCGTGGTTGGAACGGTTAATAAAAAGGACTACAATGTGTGGTCATTGTGGAGAAGAAATGAATAAAAATTGGCTGGCACCTTTCAATTTTCATCTGTGCTTGTCAAAGACTATAAGGTGTTTGAAAGGTTAATTAGTCTGCCGTGTTGGACATTTTGATGCCAACACATTTTAAATACTAAAGTGGAAGCTTCCCGTTTGGGAGGCATTTCACGCAGAGGCTTCTGGCTAATGTTTAAAAACTGATCCAGAATCGGAATAGCTTTGTTCACTGGTTTTTGGATTAGTGGTTTCACTGTTCCGCTTGAAAAAAAAATAAAAATAAAAATAAATTATAATAAAAATTGGTCAAATTTATTGTTGTTTGGGTCAAATTGGTCAAAACTGTTGTTCAACGATTTTTAACCAAAGAATGAGTGGATAAAAATGGAATCAGTTGTTTGGATGGTTTTCAGGCAGAATGATGGTACAATCGTTCGAATCAGCAATGGTTCAGAAACCATACTTTTAGTATGATATGAGCTGAGGAATTCAGAATGTGAGTCCAAATAGGTGGTGTTTGGTATCGTGGTTATCCATGATATATTGTGTTTCAAAACACACTACAGTCATTTTCATCGTTTGCTTCAGTGTGGTGTGGACCGAACCACAATATCTCGTGGAACAGTCCACACTATATCCCAAAATCTCTTCCACAGGTAAGAATCGTGGAATGCTCCACGCCATGGTGAAAAACTCTAAAGCCATTGATTCCCTACTTCGCATCATTATTCCATCCTAATAAATATTATTGTTGTAGCTCTTTTTTTTCAGGAAACCATTGTAGCTCTTGCTCTCCCATCAGTCTGCCTTGCCACTGGAAGAAGGTGGCCAACACCAGTCAAAGTTACCCCAGTTCATTGAACATCTGTTCATCAACTATTTGAATAGATTGTTTATCTGTATTTTTTTGTCACATATGTTTATTTGGGACTGAACCACTGTTATCTTATGTCAATACATTGAACAATCGGCCTGTTCTGACAAAAAAAAATGAAAAAGATAAAAAGTAGTCAAAACTATTGAACAATTCAACCACCTAGGTCAGCGGTTTGCTAATCAAATCAACGTTTTTTGGCCAAAATTCAGTTTTGGAAAAAAACGGAACTAGTCACCTTACCGGTTCCTAGTTTTTTCGGTCTGACCGTTCAAACCAAATGGTCAACCCGTTCTGATAGAAAAAAAAATAAAAAAAAAAACAAATAATGGTCAAAACCGTTGAACGGTTCGAGCAAGGTTCGAAGTGTCAACATGTATCGGCCCGTATCGGATGATACATATCATTCCAAGACCTCTCCGATACGCCCCTATAGTGGGTGCATTGGGGGTTTGACTGGTTCAGGGGGTGGAGGAGCCCTAAACTAGCCCCCTAAACTGGTTTTGAAAAAATAAAAAAAGTAAAAAAAAAGGTATCGATTCGATCGATACGCCGATAGAACCTTAACAATTCAACTGCTCGGGTCAACGGTTTGTTGACCAAGTCAACATTTTATGGCCAAAATCCGGTTTTGACGAAAA